ACAATAGTAGTAAAATAAAAGAGATATATATAAAAAAAAACGAAGGGAAAACATAAAACAATATCAAAATTAAAATTGTATAATATTTTATGGGATTAGATAGAATTCCAAATATTTTATAGGACTTCGAACGATAATAACAGAATTTATATCATATCCAAAAAAATATTTTTGTGTATTCTTTTTTTTAAAAATAGCTTATGGAAAGTTTTTGGTGATGATGACGCGAGTTTCAGGCTTTTTGTTCACCCAAAAAGTGCTCAACGCGGCAAAAGAAGGTTTCACTTCAAAAATCTATTCACTATGGCGGGTCATTTGCTGTAGCGAAAGTCATAATTATTAAACACGTCTCGGTTGAAAGTTTCCGCTTTGTACCTTGGACTTTTAAAAGTTCGTAAGTAAGTACCTACTCTCTGTAGGCATTTCTAGGAAGGCGCAAAAATGTATTAATCTTTAAATACCCTCTTATGCAAGATGGTGCTCATGAATACTGTAACTGTGTCCGTACTTTTTAAACGTGATAAAGTGGCAAACGAGCTGGCAATTCACTAGATGTTAAGTGATAACCGCCGCCCATGGACATTTGCAACACAGGAGGGTTGCAGATGCGTTGCCACCTTTTAATAAAGTGGGCGTGGTCCTACCACAGTCATTTTGAAAGTAATTATTTTGCGAACATAGTCATATGGTTCTTAATAGTTTTTATTATATATAAAAATTAATCAAATTGGTATTAAAATAATTGTGAACAAAAAAAAAACCGACTTCAACAGAAAACTAAAAACATTGTCAACATCTATAACATTTGAGGATTGCCCTCGATTTCTCTGGGATGCCATCATCAGATCTGGGTTTCCTTATCATGGTACCACACTTAGGATATCTCCATTCCAACAAAAAAAAATCATCAAAATCGGTTTATAAATGACGAAGTTATCCCCGAACACACATAAAAAAATAAAAACATATACAGTCGAATTGAGAAACCTCCTCCTTTTTTGAAGTACATAAATACATAAATTATGGAGTAGTCATACCACTTCATTAATAAATAAGAAGTTAAAAGAAATTAACAACAAACAATAGAACTAATCACATTTAATGACAATAGATAAAACCGTTATTGTAATTTTAACAACTTATGTCTACTTTCTGAGCATGAAAAGAATATGTAATTGTCTTTAATGAAACAATCCAAGTTCCTAAGTAGCTTAATGGGATTATCATTAAAAACAAAAGACGAGGCTGGGACGGCCACGCTAATAACTTAACACAATTCTCAAAATAATGTTATGAAGTTCCTCATAGAGAGTGATTGCATAAAAGTAGAACAATTGTTCGAATTGTTACGTAGGAGCCATGAGAGAAAGTTGCCGACCGCAGTTGAAGTTTGCAAACATTTATTTGTCATCGCACTGCTTTAATCTTTTGTATTCTATGCTAATTTCATTTGCCGGGAAGTTGTTTAATGTAAAAACGATGATTCAATTTCAATCGCAAATTATTTAACTATTTTATATATAGGAATGTGACCGATTTCGAATTTGAATTCTTTAGTGTCTTAGTAATATAAAAATATTGTCAAATGTTTCTATTTTAATTCAATAAATAATTGTATTTTAATGTAATGACAAACTCGTTAAATTTATGCTTTTGGAATAATCGAAAAAAGAAGTTGAAAGCTTTTTTTTTAAAGTATTGTAAGTTATTTGTAAGTTTTTCTTAAATCATTAATGTATTTTATATTATACAAATATGTATTACATTGTTCGTTGTTATAATGTAAATAGTTACGTAAAATTGAGGCAAGAAATTGAACATGGTGGAAGTTTTCAACATTTTTTAAAGTTAAAATAATTTGTGCGGCAAAGAAATCCACAGATAGATTTTAATGTATGGTAAAATTACAAAAAGCCTATTATTTTTGAAGTTATGCTTCTTTTGGTGCCTTTGAATTTTTACGATGCGCATGCACACCGACACCGACACCGACATGATAGAGTTGTTTGAACTTCACCGTACTAGAATGGCAACCAATAAAAACTTTTTGACATTTACTTAAAATTCCAAGTCATTTAATTAAACCGTCATCAATTGCATTTACTGTATTTTTCAAAAAGAGCACTACTGGCACAGGGGATAAAATTTTTAGTTATTTTTTTGTTACGCTTAAGAAGTATAACTTTTTACGTACTTACATAAGTACACACATAATTTTTTATTTAACGTTTTGTCTCATGTAAATATAAGCCACAAGTTCTAACAAGTGTGATATTTCGAATCAGAAGTGACTCTTGTAATATACTCTTGCAGGAACTCAATGAGAGTACCCCAGGACTTTACAAGTTTTAAAAGTCACATATAAGTATGGAGCAGGTACCTGAGAAGATCATTAAAATTAATTATGAAAAGTGTCTCTTACATACGAAGGGGTGTGTGGGGGATGCGATGCAAATGAAGCTGCATCTTAACGATTGCAATTTCGCTGAGCTTTTCATGAGGCTATGTGCAGATGTATGTATTTGTATTGTGTTTTTAGTATTTTTAGTGTTTTGTCTTCATTACATTTATTAATTTCGACTTTTATATTTGGTTTTTAGATGACATTTCCATATTTCTAGTCGCCACTATTGCCATTATGTCAACCTGTTTAAGTCGACCGCCTTGCTCTGCTCATAGGCCACGAAGCACTATCCTGACCGACCTGCATCCATCGAATTTCTGCACATTTGCACAGGTCATCCTTTAATCCAGTGGGGGGGTCATCCTATAATGCGATGGCCAATACAAGGCTGCTACGAGAACCTTTACTTCTCCTCGGTTATCGGTTCTACGAGGTATATGGCTAGCTCATTGTCACAACAGCTTCTGAGCTATGTCCGTTCCTGTACTATTTGTAAAATTGTAAAGTTCATCAATATTCATCGAATTATAATAAATATCAAAGCGGAAATATGAAAATTTATTTAATGAGTAATTTTATTTCGCTTCCTCTTCTGCACTGACTACAGTAAATTGCTAACTCTTGTTTAAATGGAATGAAAGTTTTAATTAAATAACACTTCCAGCTGGCGTAACTTTGCGGGTTTGCTGGGGGGTGATTTCCGCTTGGATTATAATGAACTATTAATTATTCTGGTAAGTCAATGGCAAAACTCGTATAACTCTAATTTACAACCTATGTTTCAATCTAGAGCGAACTTTAGTTTTAAATATGGTTAATATCCACTTAGTTATCGCTTTGTGCACTTAAGTCTGTAATGCATGTACAATATTATCTTTTATTTTTTATCACTACTTAACTTATCATAATATTTTTCAACGATGTTTTTGTTTTCAGCGTCATATCATCCTTAAAGCTTACTTAAAACAATGTTAGGGGTCGTGCGTCGGTTCGATTCCCACATGGAACAAGTATTTGTACCCACCGATTATCTCGCATCTGGGTGTTTGCCCACGTATTATATTATACATTTAGCTTTTTTTTTGTAAAAGCCCCTACAGCGCAGGATAATGTTGTGCTAAAGTAAGGACAATATTTAAAAAAAAAAAAAGAAACATTGTTATTTTGAAGGCCTGATTGGCATATAAATAATGAACCTTTATTTTTCTTATGCCTGTTTATGTTTATCAGTTACCTAATAGCTTTACCGTATATAAATATAATGTTCTGAAATATTTAATTTTACGTGAAAGTTCCCATTTGCGCATGGTACATTTCGTAGTTTATAATGTGTACGGTGCATAAATAGAATAAATTTACGTATCTAAACATTTAAATAAGAAAGTGTTTGACATCCATATGAAATATCCATACGTGGTATGTTTTCCCTCAAAATTACCCATTTATTGCGGTTATTATTATTATTCGAATATTCGAAGTTATTATTAAAGTTATTATTCAAATTTATTTTTGGGTTATTTTGATTATTTTATATACAGTGAGTATGTATTTGATTTATATACAGTGGGATGTGAAATGAAAGCTCTGTGGCCACAAACATCTACCCAATTTAGTTCAAATGACTATGCTTGTGTATTAGTTTCGAAATAAGCTAAAGTGCTTATTGGGACTTCCTCAATTGGTAAATTGGTCTGTCACCCATTTATGATCTTGGTGGGTGATTCATGCCGGCGAGGGTTATGAATCTAGAACATTGTGTTGTCTTTAAACTTGGCGATGATGTCTCCTCGGTTGAATGTAACGCGCGTTGCTACTATTGTTAAATGTTCAACGCGGTATGTATGTTTAAGAATGTTAGTAAAATGTATCAATGATTAGTAAAATTGTAGAAATGCTTTTAAAAAGTTGCACCATTCGTAATATTTCTTGTCGTAATTAAAAACTTAAAGATTTATTGACAATATGTTTAGGAGTAACTTTTATGTTGCAAATAATTTTTTACTCACATTTATTTGATATTATGTTGCATCATATATTATTTGATTTCTGTTTATTTGCTTATGTAGCCACTCAAGTAACTTAAGCGTATTGAATAAAGTCAGATCAAAATAAGTTTAAAAGACATATCATAAAAAAAATAAAATTTTTTACTCGTCCACGATCCCTTTGCTAACCGATGTAAAATGTTTTGACTTTCAAAATGGCTGCTTTATGTTATGGCACATAAAAGCTATCGTCTATCTCAATTGTTGTTGTGACAAATTGGTGGCAGGACGTGTGATTTAGAATGTATGCAGTTCAATGTAATAAAATGTGGGTCCGATGATCATTAGTTACAATAAACTTTTGTGTCATCTTGATTTTATAACTCGAGGAACCGGATCAATAAAGAAGAAAACGTTCAGTATTTACTAGGACTAAAAAGTATGTTATGAGATCTAGTTTCATAAAATATACTATACTTTTTATTAAAACGCGTTTGTTAAAGCTAGTGTAAAGATGTTATAAAAAAATAATATATACTATTATTTTAATTAATACAGATGTCATAAAAAAAATCATGTGCCTGATTATTCATTTATAGCATCTGTCTTAAATGAAACCGCTGACAACCCTATGTAACAAGGAAGAAGGTCGACGTGATTGACAGTTCTGGCGTTTATGTTCCATATTTTCGGCAGTCGATAAATCTCCAGGACTGTGTCAAAGTACTTGTTCTGAAAGTTTTATTTTTATTCACGTTGTTATATTATATTTCCATATTTATTATTATAGTTTATATTATTATTATAGTTCGATATGTTAATTCATAAATTTTGTGTTCTTTCAGTAGTTACTAAATTAAGTAATTTATTTGATTGAATATAAACTTTTTATTTTTTTACGATATTGCTTATGTCTGTAAATATTTAATTATAGTATCATTCGTGTGTATCGTTCATTATAAAAGTATTCAAGTGATAAGAAATTGTCAATACAATGTCAGTTATGTTAAAATTTACACCTGTTTGTCAACAACGTTCAGCGTTGGTTTCTTGTTACGAATTTAAATGGTATTTTCCTTTCCGGATATCCCATTTGTTACCCATATCCCCTCATTTCAGTTAACAATTAAAACAATTAAACGAAACTCTCATTATTTTTACTATTTTTATTATTTCTTTACTTACACTAAGTTGACTGTGTCTTACGTAACGTACGTAACGTTCTGGAACTATAATCTTGTAAAATTATCTTCACCGGTGTATTTGAATGCAGGTGAAGATTTTACCCTCAATAATGATTACCATTTTTCTATCTTTTCGGAGAATTAATCATCTCCATCTGATTTCCCATTTACGTTGTAAGCCTTTACAGTTAAAAGCATGAATTAAATAAGAGGGGCAAACGTTTTTGAATAGAAATGACACGGCGAAATGTATGGCTTGTCAGCGTTGTGTCATTGAATAAAAAACATTCCCATAGAGTTGGATTTCTTTAATGATTTCTATGTATAGGCTTTTAACGCTTTGCCTTAAATCATTTTGAATGACCTCATTGCAAGTAATTTTTGTATAGATAATACATGTTTTGAAAATGAATTTACGATTTATTAATAGACACTCGATTAATTATACACGCTGGCCATTACCTCTACCACTATTTTAATTTGATAAGAACGAAAGTTTACATTGTACTTTCTGGTATTGAACTAAAAATAAATATCTAAAATTAGTGTTCATAATTAAGGAAGAAATTTTTATCTTGGGCTATTTTTGGTTTCAGCTTTCATCTATATATTAATAAGGGAAGCAAAAAATTTGTACCCGTTTATACGAAAATTGCGCGGACGGAGGAGTATGAAATTTCCCACACTTATAGTTTCTATAGAGAAGGATGAGAAGAGCAGAATGCTTACATTTTTTTTAATTTTGCATAAAAGTCAGACAAAAATACATTAAATCAATAAAAAAAAACATTAAACACATTGCCATGTTTAATTAAATATGGTCGAATTTCGACTACTGGGCGACCACTAGCATAAATAAATAGGTTAAATGATTTTTTCGAATATCAACAGTGTATTTTTTTTGTGTACAATAAATAATAAGAAAAGAATTGTAGTGAAGCCTGCAAAGCCTGTGATGACTACAAAGAAATGAGAAAGTGTTTTTCAGGTGTTTTCCGTTAGAGATGTAGTGAAATTTCTCGATGCACTAGTAGTTACCTAGATGGTTTTAATTGAAATAATGGGAGCTCTGTTCACAAAAACGAATAGTCATAAAAAATTTTGCCTCCGAAAATCTCTTTATAGTAACAACCTGTATACAAAAGGTATTCGCGCATAGTCTACCACGCGACACCATTACGTTTTGGCAGGCTTTATATATCAATGTTATTATTTCGAAAATATGAAAGTTTTTTCAAATGTTTTCCTTTACCTTTAAGCACGTGATAATCAGCGCTTAAAATTAAAATGACTCTAGTATATTGAATTAAAAGCGGCACTGGGCACTGAACTATCGCGGCTACAAAAAAATCGCAACTTGGCTTTATAACTCGGATGTTTTGAGTTAGTCGACACTTACGACCTTAGGTAATCAAAACGGTTCATATCCGGTGACATCACGTGGATGTAGGTGCTGTGTTATACCAGGCACGTGTTACAGCATTCGTTCGGAGCACGCGCGTGCGCAACGCACTTGGACACGCTGTGTAAGTATACATTGTTTCGTTGTAAAAACTGTGTCGAGGTAATTATGGTTTTTCTTGCTACTGATATGGTAGTAAAAAAAAAAAGTAAAGTAACAGCCTATACATGTCCCACTGCAAAGGCCTCCTCTATACATAGGGTATCAGGGCATAGTCCACCACGCGGCCCCACTGCGGATTGGCGGACTTCACATATCTTCGAAATTTTTTTTTTTTTTTGTTATTATTTCGAAAATATGCAGGTTTCCTCTCGATGTTTTCCTTCACCGCGGAGCACGTGATAAGTCAACACTTAAAGTTAAAAACTTCATTGGTGCCGGCACCGGGGATCGAACTCAGGTTGCTCGAGTATATTGAATTAAAGGCGATCGCCCGGTAGTAAGAAAAACCATTATTGTTTTATCGGTGTTGTAATTTTTCTGTGATTTTACCAATTAAGATTATGTCTACTGGGAAAATGATTGACAGAACTTGTTATAACTAACTTTTAGAAATGTAGGAATGGGTTCAGGGGGATGATCGGTCAAAAGTCGGTCCTGATGTTAAGTGAATACCGCCACCCATAGACATCTGCTACACCCGAGGGTTCCTGATGCGTTTACAATACGGTACAAAACGTGAGGATTATATATTGATCACAAAAGGATTTCAACAAAATTACCGCCAATATATAAACAAATAATATCAAAAACATATCAGCTTCTTTTAAGGCACCACTAAGGTTTTGCATGTGCGACGATCATGATAGACTAACGTTGACTAATGCTGAACGCACGCCTCGAAACGTCGACCGTTCACGTGACTTTTGTTTATTAAACGATGAAACTTTCAAACACGTGGCGGGTGTGGCACACGCACGCACGCTTGCGGAAGCTCTTACTTGCTGCCTACTCTGTCAATATGATGAGGTCATGGGAATTTTTTCAGTAACAGCGCTTTGGCAAAACACATCAGATGGTAAGGATAGAAAAGGGATGAAATAACGTAATATCATTTCGTAGACAGCAATCGGGATGGTAAGAGGTGAACGTCGCCCATTATAATTATATTACTATTTCAGCTTGTTTGAGTCCACCGTTGAGCATAGGCCACCCTCACACACAGCCACGAAGGACCATCCTGAGCCACCTGCAATCATCGTCGTTTCATCCGTCGCCCATGGACATCCACAACTCCAGGAGGGTTTCCTCCGATGATGATCACAGAATGAAACGCAATATTGCCATACCAATAGATATTATCTGTTGTTGATAATGCACTTTCATACAATCGTGAAATATACTTTTCTTATTTTTGTTTACTAATATTTTGTTGTTCACTGCGTCGATTTCACTGCGTGAAAATACTTTGGAAGTGATCAGGTAAGTAAGCTGGTTACTTCTGCTTAAAGTGAGTAACTTTTATAGAAATATGTCAAAATTACTGTGGTATTTTCAGAAGTATGATACAACTCAGTTACTCAGATATTTCTACAGCTTTACAGAAATTACGATAACGTCGTACGACTATGAATTTGATGGTTTATTTTGTAAATCGGTTTGTTAATTTTCGTAATTTTTGGTTGTTTTAATTAACATATATATATTCTATCCCTATTCCACATTTATTATATTCTCTTCCCTATCGCGTTGTACATAAACATATGTATGCACTTGGTTGTATTTGATTTCTTATCATTTTGGCCACATCTTTATCAATGTTTTTGAAGCAACAATTTAATAAATTTGTGTTAATGGCGGAAAATATAAGCGACAAATTTCTTTATTGTTGTTTTTAAAGTTATAGTATCTACTTGTCTTTTGTTGAATTAGGAAAAAAATAAGAAAAGCGCGCATAGCGCTATGAAGTCGATACTATGATGTTAGCCCATATATATTCTTATTTAGTAATGTGTGCCTTAGAATATTATTCAAAAACAAATATGTTGTTTGGCGTTATTTTTTTGTACTATTTGACATTATTCATGTTTGACACATTTTTAAAGGGGGATTTATCGACCAAATTCATGGTGTTAATTACACCTTTATATTTATGTTCTTACACCAAAGAAGTACATCTTCTTACATACAAGCTTACACATGTTTTTTGCTGTAAAAGTTGCAAATGTGAGGTCAAGTTTGTTCGGCAAAACATGTTGTAAGTGCTAAGATAAGAAGAAAGAGAAACAACATAAACCCTTTATCTCAAATAATGATTATTAAATGTCAGTGGTGTTGTAAACTAATTCAAGAATAATAAAATAAAATAAACTATTCATCTCAACCGATCTACGATATAGTTTCACAATTCAATATGCGTTCCAAGAGTTTCTTTGCATCGGAATAATAACAACTACGAGAAGTAAAGATAAGAAACAGGCGGTGAAGCCACGTGAACCTCGTGACAACTCAAAGGCAGACTTCAGCGTTGCGTCGATTTTGTTTTGAAATCTCCTTCTGTAGCTAGCAGCGGTTTGGCTATCGGAAATATTGAGGCGAACCACGTGCAGTTACTTTGTGGGTCAGGTTCATTGTGTTACGTTGTTTAATGTTTACATTGAATACGTAGGTACTATTTTGTAATCGTAAAACATTTTCATTGATATTTAAGGAATTTTTTCCCCGGCTATTTTTGGGTTCAGCCATCATAATTGAATATCGTATTATATTTTCCGTCGTAAAACCTTATGTATAATCAGTCTATGTTACCTGTATATATATAAAATACAAAATCAAATCGATCTATCCTATCGCCGGTGTGCTTGGCGAAGTGACAGCATATCGGATACTACGCAACGTGTCGCAGGTTCAATTTTCGCACAAAATAAGTATTTGTATAACTTACAGATAATATTTTAAGACTTAATATTTGTGTTTGTGAATTTTGCGTCTGTAAACGCACCTACGTCAAAGGAGAATTTCTAGTGTCAGGCAATGTTTTAAAAAAAAAAACAGATTGCTAGTTTCATATGGACTAATATGGAACAAGATATGTCATCTTGTGTGACTTAACTGGATAGTTTTAATTTGTAAGCGATAGACTTTGGCGCCGGGTTTGTGAGTTCCATTCCCACCCCGGCGGATAATAATTGTTATTGAATACTCGTTCATTTATAGTTTGTTTTAATAAAATAACTCTACAATACAGAATTACCCATTTTTCTTAAACTTAGAACTTAAGGAACTGCATACGTACTAGAATCTAGGTAGCAAAGAAGAGGGCAATTATAGGAGCTAACAATGTCTGCTTGATTAGACAAACATTGCAGAGCGCGAAATATTTTCCCCAATTACCCATAAACGTCTAACGTCCATGCTATAAACTGTTAAAAAGTAACCATAGTTCAATATTTCATTTGTTTTTTGTTAAAGCGTCTATTGAGGTAACTTTTAGGTTTTAGCTATTTCGTATGATGCATTAAAGAATTAATGGCTTTATAACTGAAAATAACTGTTCTTATTAAGATATACTCATGAAAGTTTAATTTGCTTCTCCGAGTATATCCTTTCGGTTTTAGAAATCCACCAAATGTAATTTTAACTTTATTAAAATTGAGGAAAAAGATTTCTTTGTGTGTCATTGTGTCTTATGAAATCTGACCTTTGGTCTTACACCCAAGTGTTACATCAGATACGAGAAAGAAAATTTAATACAATACTCTTTTCAAGAGCTCGTTCTACCGGGATATTCTTTTAGTTTGATCAATATCGTTTTGTATTTGCATTACAAAAAAAGTTGGTACTGAACATATGAATAGGCTTCATGTGTATATTCCGATTTATATAAGTTAGTTTAAAAGTTGTAGTCGTTAATATAAAAACAAATCTTTAAATAGTATTATAATACTACGTAACGAAAGTTGTCTTACAATAAATATCTTGTCAGAATTATTCTTTTATGTAACTAATAGGAAACAAATAAGTGTGTCATGGACGAGGGGCGAATGAAATTTTACCTGTTGCAAAACATTGGTGGCACCGATGTCCTGTGTCAAATTTATGGCACTGTATTGGGAGTTATACGAGCGTGAGTTATAGACTATTACGTTTTAAGGGCGCGAAAAGTGTATTAAATTAAGCAATAGGCAACGAACGAATGTACTTCGACATGCAATCCATTGAGTTTTTAATTGCACTAATGTTAGTTATGTATATTATACGATCAACACTTAATTTATGTCGACCTATTTATACTTAACTTTTTTAATGTTTGACTTGCATGAGTAAATGTTGTCAAACTTTAGCGATTTCAGTCCACAGGTGAAGCACAAAACCTCTCTTCGTCACCTAAATCACAGTACCTCAAACTGTATGTATTGCTCAGAGTCTAGTCTGAGTAGGTGACCCATAAAGATTTACGAAACATTTATCAGACAATCGATATTATGGAATAGTTTAAGTTTTCTTGGGATGTATATAAAATACAAAATTCATAAGGACCTCTAAATTGATTATTTCAGCATTTTTTGATTTTGCTAATTGCTTTACCGGAGATAAATTAAAATACGAAGGTTTGAACTGACTGGTCTAGTTTTATTCATAGGTAGATTAATGTATGCGGATAAAGTGAGTACTTAAGAAACTGAGATACTCTTTGATATTTCGGCTAAGGTAGCCCATCTTGTTGCGTTGTTGCCGGAAATTGGGGTAAAAATTGTAATAAATAGTCCAGCTGTAATATTTTTAATTATTTTTAATTTTTTCTTATCATGTTTAAGATGAACTGGTAAGTGTTTTCTTTAAATAGACTTAAACATGCGTGCGAATTCTCGCAAAAACAATGTATTAAGATTGTCGTTGTGGGATACGCACGCCTCAATGCTGACTCATCGAAGCGTTGCAGGTATCATTTTTTCTCCACTACCAGTCACGTTCTATCTTCTCTTTCCCTCATTAGGCTTCGTTCAGGGAAAGGGATCTTTTGTTTCATCTCGAGGTTGTGATTCACGACCGTGGAACTAACCGCAATTGATTAAAAAGTTGTTTTATCCGGTGCCGATATTTATTGTAACCGCCTTTATGGAATAATAACCTGAGTCATGATCACAGGCCGTGCTTTACTATGAATCGTCTTAGATATGCGTGAAATGTTGATGCTATGTTTCCATGTAGACAATGAAGTAGAAAGTGTTGATAATGTGCGATGAAACTGCTCGACGCTGGCCAGAATCGAATTTTATTAAGGGTTCCGTTTCAGTTTATAAGACCTTAAATAATATTAATACTTATGTTACTTGCGTATGTGATTTGCGATGCAATCGTGTATTCCATTCCCTGTACGACACAGATATTGTATAACGCAAAAATGATTGTTAGGGATCGGATTATTTTTGGTTTAAAAACAATCGTGCAATAAACAATACCTCTATTTAAAACAAAAAAAAAAATATCATGTAACTGCCCTTTTAAAAATGATATTAAAATTTACAGTGACTCGAAATAATTTAATACCACTTTAAATCTATAGATTATCATATAGTAAGTTGTACTTGGTAATGATAGAGGATTATGTATTTAAGCTGTGTTTGTAGTAACATTAACGAATTTCAAAATAGCTCAATAGTGTAATTGCAATCTAAGAAACGTCTCTTCATCGGTATGCCAGTGATGTTTAGAAAGATAGACAAAATGGATATATCTTTAAGAATTTCCGAGAAATATGAAATGGGAATTGGATATAATATTACCTCGAGATATATTTAAATTCGTTCATTTAATGAATATCTGAATGGAAAAGTATTTTAAAAAAACAATGAGAAACATGTTCAAATAAAATGACTTTCATTTGTTGGAGGATCTCTAAAAATACAATTGCTGAAAAAACAACAATAGCATCTTATGCAAAAGTGAAAGATCTAGGAGTTACTCATAACTGTGCTGTTACGAAATGAACAGAATTACTTCCATTACCTTTAGGTCTTAACTTTACGCGAAAAAAGTTCACTATTGATCCAAATATTGCTCATTTCTTTTGACAAAGTGTTATATTTATTTTACCGCTAGTGGGAATATCTCTATCCTTCGAAGTTTCAAACATAAATATCTTATAAGTTAGTCAGAGCATGCACTGCGAGAAAAGCTAGCGAAGTAAGCAATACTGCTAGTTTTTTTTACTCGTGCAAGTTTTATGACGAGAAAAAGTTATCTGTTACTGGAACTTTAAAAGGATGAGTCTGTAATAATATAATAATACTAGCTGCTGCCCGCGATTACGT